GGGGGGGGGGGGCTTCTCCCAGGGCAGGGGGAGAGGAGGGGGGGCCCTTGCCTGAGGGCCCTGGCCTGTCTCCCCCAGAACAAGGCGCAGGAGCTGCCCCCCGAGGAGCAGGGCCCCAGCGTCAAGAACCTGGACTTCTGGCCCAAACTCATCACGCTCATCGTCTCCATCGTGGAGGAGGACAAGACCTCCTACGCCCCCGTCCTCAACCAGTAAGGGACGCTCTCTCCTCGGCCGGAGCTCTGCTGTCCGTGGTGTCCTTCGCGGGGCCTGTCTGTCTGTCCGTCTGTGTCTGTCTGTCCGTCTGTGGCACAGTCTCTGTGTAGTTGAGGTGGCGGCTGCCCGTTAGCGCCCGGCAGAGGGGTGAGAGCGGTTCCTCCTCGTCCGGTGCCCCTTCCCCGCCTGCATGCCAAGGCCGGAGGCCCCGGGGGCTGGGGGCTTCCGAGGAGACCCCGGGCGGAGGGGCAGCTCTGGCGGGGAAGGCTTCGCGCTGCCTCCGTGGGGAGACCCCGGGGGACCCTGGGCAGGCAGGGAGCCCTTCTCCGGTGGGCCTCTGGCTCGGACCTCTCGGGCAGGGAGCCCCTCCCTTGCAGGGACGTGGCTGGGACGTGGCCCCCCTCCCCCCCTCCAGCCAAGGGGCATCCCTTGAAGGCCTCCTCCCACTCCGGACGCAGGTTTCCCCAGGAACTGGCGGTGGGCAAGATCAGCGCGGAAGTCATGTGGAATCTCTTCACTCAGGACATGAAATACGCCATGGAAGGTGAGTCCTGGGGCGTCTCCTGGGCCCCTGGCGGCAAGGCCGTGGTTTGTGGGGGAGCTCCGTGGCCTTTGCCTGGTGCCGGTGCTGGAGATGGGGGGTTTACGGGTGTCTTAAGGCCGTTTGGGTAATGAGGAGGGGCATTTTGTCAAAGGGAATGTAGGAGTGACGTCCATACGGGGAGGCCTCGACTTACGACCGGTCTCTAGGGGCCATTCAGAGTTACAACCTTCCTGAAAAGGGGGGCTTGCCCAGATCCCAAGTCCCTACAGCCACCGCCCCCCTTTTGTGGCCAAAGTTTGGGTACTCAGCAGCCCAGCGCCATTTACGACCATTTGCTGTCTCCCACCGTCACATGGCCACCTTTTACGACAGATTTGCCACAAAAGAGGACACCCTCCCCGTTCTCAGCCACACTGCGCTGTAAGGAGCCCTGGGTTGCTTCACAGCCATGGTGTTCGCTCTTACGGCCACGGCCTTCGCTCTGGCGACAGTCGCAGGATCCACGGGCCCTGCAGGCTGAGAGACAAGAGGCAGCCGCCCACCTGCCGTCTGAGACAAGGGTCGTTCTTTGGAAGACAGCAGAGTCCACTTTTTGGACAGGGGGCACCGCTGGTTTGAACGGGGGACCCAAGAGGCCATCTGTGTCAAAACTGAAGAGCCCCCCCCCCTTCAACAAAGTGGGGAGGGGATACAACATCCTCTACCTCCGGCCTACAACACAGCTCCTTTCAGCCGTCCCAAGAAGACCCCACCCCCATGGGCACCACACAGACGGACCCCCAGGGGGGCCTCCGAAGGGCTGCAAGGAGGACCCAGTCCTTC